CGCACTAGTGGTCGTACTGCGCGTCCGCGTCCTTCTACGGTCCCAGGCACACACCAGATGGCACTGCGTCCGTCCACTGCTCCTCTGCGTGTCCCTTTGCCGTCTCCTCCAGAGTCCTCTCTTCCTGTCCTTGCTGACCCGGAGTCTGAATCTCTTCGTGCTGCCAGTCTTACTGTCATGCGTCTCCTGGCTACTGTTGTCACTGACCCGTCCTTTGAGTCCACTACTGCGTCTGCCTTGGTTGCTGAGCTTGTCGACTTTGCTGCTCGCTGTCGTCTACACTACGCTGCTAGTCTTGTTGCTGAGTCTGCGTCTGTCTGTCCTCCGTCCGTCGGGGGTGAGTGTGCTCTTAGCACGGACGTCCTTGAGGACAAGCAGGAGGAGTTCTAGTGTTTTGCTGCTGCTTTGCGTCATCTCGTGTCCACGCTGATTGCCCTTGAGGGAGACCCGGATGCACCAGACATCCCGACTCCTCGATCGTAAGCTGAGGCGATCGAGGGTCCCTGCTCCTCACAGTGGCAGTCAACCATGGACGCAGAGATGGCTTCCTGGAAGTCCATAGGCACCTACGTCGACGAGGTTCCCCCACCTGGGGCGAACATCGTCAGTGGCATGTGGATTTTCAGGGTGAAGCGGCCGCCGGGTTCTCCGCCTGTCTTCAAGGCGCGTTACATGGCTCGAGGCTTCAGTCAGCGGCAGGGAGTTGACTACTTTCAGACCTTCTCTCCCACCCCGAAGATGACCACTCTTCGGGTGCTGCTCCACATAGCCGCTCAGCGCGACTACGAGCTTCACTCTCTTAACTTCAGCACAGCTTTTCTGCAGGGCAGCCTGCACGAGGAGATCTGGCTGCGCCGCCCACCTGGCTTCACTGGGTCGTTTCCTCCTGATACCCAGTGGAGTCTCCGGCGTCCAGTCTACAGTCTCCGCCAGGCGCCCTGTGAGTGGCACGACACACTGAGGACTACACTTGTGGCTCTTGGGTTTGCTCCTTCTACAGCCGACCCGTCGCTGTTTCTGCGCACCGACAGCTCTTTGCCGCCGTTCTACATCCTCGTGTACGTTGACGACTTGGTCTTTGCCACTGCTGACACTGCTGGACTCGCCCACGTGAAGTCCAAGCTGCAGAAGAGACATACGTGCACAGACCTGGGTGAACTGCGCAACTACCTTGGCTTGCAGATCACCTGGGACAGAGCACAGCGCACCATTACCCTGACTCAGTCACACATGGTGCAGCAGGTCCTTTAGCGCGTCGACTTCACGTACTCCTCGCCTCAGGCCACTCCTCTGTCTACTCGCCAATCGCTCTCAGCTCTGCCTTCGGATGAGTCCGTAGAGCCGAGTGGCCCGTACCCAGAGCTTGTTGGCTGCCTCATGTACCTGATGACTTGCACTCGACCTGACCTTGCATACCCTCTTAGCATCTTGGCACGCTATGTTGCTCCTGGGAGACACCGACCAGAGCACATGGCTGCAGCGAAGAGGGTGTTGCGCTACTTGTGCAGTACGTCGGGCATGGGGCTAGTGCTTGGAGGGCGACGTCGAGTGGTCCTCACAGGTCACGCAGACGCTTCTTGGGCTGACGACCAGGCTACGCAGCGGTCGTCACAGGGTTACACCTTCAGCCTTGGCTCCGGCTCTGTCTCGTGGCAGTCTACACGCTCGTCTTTTGTTCTCGGCTCCAGCTGTGAGGCTGAGATTTACGCTGGGGCCATGGCTGCACAGGAGCTACGCTGGCTCACCTACTTGCTGACTGACCTAGGAGAGCCGCCTCGTTCTCCTCCAGTTCTGTACGTAGACAACAAGGCCATGCTGGCCTTGTGTCGGGAGCACAGACTGGAGCACAGAACGAAGCACATTGCTCTCCGCTACTTCCTTGCTCGTGAGCTGCAGCAGCGTGGTCAGCTGCGTCTTGCTTACGTGGCCTCTGAGGCCAACACTGCTGATATCTTTACCAAGGCACTTCCGCCTGGTGATCATCAGCGCTTCTGTACGATGCTAGGTCTTGTGCCTACTTGGCCTCACTTGCTCACTTCTTGACCTTGCTTGTACTGTGATCTGTCTATACCTGCACTTGCTTGTTTACCTTTATATATGATCTTGCATGTGAACTGGCCTTTTGGCCTTGCTCTTGTGCTCGGATTGTGTGGTGACGTTGTGATCCACCCTGAGCTTGCTTTGCTTTGCTTGACTGGTCTTGTGACCTCTTGTTCTCCCCCACTTTGCCTATCGGGGTGTGTCAAACTCATATTATATAGCTTGTGTAGGCTATAGTGGGGTGGACACTATGGGGTACAGTTTCCTAGGGTTTCCTACCTGTACCCAACCTAGTGCTAGTTCATTCATTCCTCATTCTTTCACAATTAGAAGCTAGACTACCATTTCTTAGTCTCATATCGTAGTTGTTTAACATAGTATTGGCCGCATGTTGTTTAAGGCTTAGGTTCTAGGATTGTTGTAGATACTTTAGCTTTAGGGCTTTCACTAGATTTCATCCATTCTTCTACTATTCATCGTCTCTTTCCTGTTTTGCATGCTTACAACCTTGTATTTGCATATTTCATTGACGTTTTTACTTCCTTTCTTCTTATATTCTTGTTATGTCGATTTGAACGCTAACCTTCTTTTCCTTGATAGCCAGATAAATATAAACCATCTCGACCCGAGCAACATGTCGTTCTCTCTCTCTCTCGTCCTACCTCTCTCGTTCTCTCGTTCTCTCTCTCTTTCATTCTCGTTCTATCTCTCTCGTTCTCTCGTTCTTCTCTCTCTCTCTCTCTCTCTCTCTCTCTCTCTCTCTCTCTCTCTCTCTCTCTCTCTCTCTCTCTCTCTCTCTCTCTCTCTCTCTCTCTCTCTCTCGTTCTCTCTCTCGTTCTCTCTCTCTCTCTCTCTCTCTCTCTCTCTCTCTCTCTCTCTCTCTCTCTCTCTCTCTCTCTCTCTCTCTCTCTCTCTCTCTCTCTCTCTCTCTCTCTCTCTCTCTCTCTCTCTCTCTCTCTCTCTCGTTTTCTCCCTCTCGTTCTCTCGTTCTCGTTCTCTCGTTCTCCTTCTCTCGTTCTCCTTCTCTCGTTCTCTCTCGTCCTTGTTCTCTCGTTCTCTCTCTCCTTCGTTCTCTCTCTCTCTCTCTCTCTCTCTCTCTCTCTCTCTCTCTCTCTCTCTCTCTCTCTCTCTCTCTCTCTCTCTCTCTCTTTCTCTCTCTCTCTCTCCTTCTCTCTCTCTCCATCGTTCTCTCTCTCTGGTTCTCTCTCTCTTGTTCTCTCTCTCTCTCTCTCTCTCTCTCTCTCTCTCTCTCTCTCTCTCTCTCTCTCTCTCTCTCTCTCTCTCTCTCTCTCTCTCGTTCTCTCTCTCGTTCTCTCTCTCGTTCTCTCTCCCGTTCTCTCTCTCTCTCTCTCTCGTTCTCTCTTTCTGGTTCTCTCTCTCTTGTTCTCTCTCTCTCTCTCTCTCTCTCTCTCTCTCTCTCTCTCTCTCTCTCTCTCTCTCTCTCTCTCTCTCTCTCTCTCTCTCTCTCTCTCTCTCGTTCGTTCTCTCTCTCTCTCGTTCTCTCTCTCGTTCTCTCTCTCTCGTTCTCTCTCTCTCTCGTTCTCTCGTTCTCTGTCTCGTTTTCTCTCTCTCGTTCTCTCTCGTTCATTCTCTCTCTCTTGTTCTCTCTCTCTCGTTCTATCTCTTTCGTTCTCGTTCGTCCTCTCTCTCTCGTCCTCTCTCTCTCTTCCTCTCTCTTTTGTCCTCTCTCTCTCTCTCTCTCTCTCTCTCTCTCTCTCTCTCTCTCTCTCTCTCTCTCTCTCTCTCTCTCTCTCTCTCTCTCTCTCTCTCGCTCTCGCTCTCGCTCTCCCTCTCCGTTGTATATCGTCGTTTCCTGTTTTATTACTTGCTCTGTTTTTTTGGTTATGTTTTTTTAATGTACATCATTCTTCATCATTTTTTTTCCTTACCACCATTTGCTTGCATTCTGTTGGTTACCATGTTCTTCTCCTCATCTGCCTTGCTTTCTGTTCTATTTTCTCCACACTTTGATATTTTTTTCCTTCTCCCCCCTCTTCCTTTTTTACCCTCTCCTTGATCACTTTCAGTGTCATTTCTCTCCTATCCTCCCTTGTTTTGCTTTCCCATTTCCTCTACATCGAATATCATGTTAAACTTATATGCTATAGTCTGTGTAGGCTGTAGTGGGGTAGAGAATATGGGGTACAACATTTCTAGGTTTTCCTACTTGTACCCACCTCTTTCCTAGTTCATTCATTCCTCATTCTTCACATGGTATAGAGCAGGTTCCCTCGTGGGAACGCTTCTCAGGGTCCACCATTGAACTCGATTTTTTTTCCTGCCCGAGGTGCGCACCGTAGGCCGCCCTCACGTCGCGCTCCCTTAGCGGCCCCTCTCACGGCCCCTCGCGCCACCCTAAGCGGCCCCGTCGCCACCCCTTACGGCCCCGTCGCCGTCCTTTACGGCCCCGTCACCGCCCCTCTAGGCCCCTCGCGGCCCCTCTGCGGCCCCGTCGCCGCCCCTATCGGCCCGGTCGCCGCCCCTAGCGGCCCCGTCGCCGCCCCTGGAGGCCCCATCGCCGCCCTTCGCGGCCACCTCGCCGCCCTTCGCGGCCCCGTCGCCGCCCCTAGCGGCCCCGTCGCCGCTCTTCGCAGCCCCGTCAAAGCCTCTAGCGGCCCCGTCGCCGCCCTTCGCGACCACGTCGCCGCCTCTACCGGCCCCGTCGCCGCCCTTCACGGCCCCTTCACCGCCGAGCCGCGCAGCAGCCGAGCCGCCGAGCTGCCCAGCAGCCGAGCCGCCGAGCCGCCGAACCGCCCAGCAACCAAGCCGCCGAGCTGCCCAGCAGCCGAGCTGCCGAGCCGCCCCGCAGCCGAGCCGCCGAGCCACCGAGCCGCTGCCGTCGAGCCGGTACTGTCACTGCCGAGCCGCCGTCACCGCAGTTCCAGCCCTATTCCTACCGGCGCGCCCCGGCCCTACCCACTCGGACTAGTGAGAGCACTTCTTGCTAGACCACTGCTGTCATGGCTACCCCCAGTGTCCTTACCTTTGATGCTGAGGGTCTTGCTGTTGACTTTGAGGTCCGGGTCGATGACCTCCAGCTTTTCCTACAGTGCGATAGGGCAGACGGACTCTCCCTGTTCGATCTCACCTCTGGTGCCTCTCCTGCCCCGCCTGCTACTGCTGACAGCACTGTTCGCTCACAGTGGGCCACACGCGATGCTGCTGCCAGTCTTGCTGTGCGTCGCCACTTACCGACCGCTGAGCGTGCGCACTTTAGTCAGTACAAGAGTGCTAAGACCTTGTACGACGCTGTAGTTGCACGCTACTCTTCACCTGCCACTGCTGCGCTTAGCCGCCTCATGCTGCCGTACCTGTTCCCTGACCTTGCTGCCTTTCCCACAGTCGCTGACCTCATTACGCACCTTCGCACTAGTGACACTCGCTACCGCGCTGCGCTTCCTGCTGAGTTCTGTGCCAAGAACCCCCCCCCCCCATGTACATCACCCTCTACTACATAGTCACCCGGCTCCCTGACTCCCTTCGCTTAGTCAGGGACCACTTCCTCTCAGTTTGCCCCACCACACTCACCGTTGATCTCCTCGAGGAGCGCCTCCTGGCAGCAGAGAAGAGTATAGTCACTGTAGGAGCCTCTCGTGGTGACCCTCGTACCCCCGTCTTTGAGGGGTGTTCCCCCTCCCCCCTCTTGCACTCTGTTGCTTCTGCTGCTGCGGCCGACCTCGTTGGCTTCGAGTCGGTCGGCGCTGCGTCTGCCCCTAGCGGGAGACGCCGCACCGGCAAGGGAAAGGGGGGCAAGGGCGCTGGAGGGGCTGGCGGGGGCGGTGGAGGTGGCGGTGGAGGCAGTGGAGGGGGTGGGGGTGGTGGTGGGAGTGGTGGCGGGGGTGGAGGTGTCGGTGGCAGCAGTGGAGGCGGAGGAGGCGGCGGCGGTGGCGGTGGGAGCGGAGGCGGCGGAGGTGGCGGAGGCGGCGGCGGCAGCGGTGGAGCTGGTCGCGGCTCTGCGCAGAGGAGTGGTTCCGGTGGTGGTCCGCGCCAGCAGCAGCAGCGCACTCGTGAGATCCCGTCCCCCTAGCACCTTCGTGAGTGGTACGCTGGGCGTCAGCGAGGTGGGGGTACTGGTCCCTGCACCTACGTCCTCCGTACCGGCGACCGCGCTGGTGAGTAGTGCGGGGGCCCGCACTCCACCCAGCGCTGCTTTGGCCGCCTGACGGACGCGTGGCATCACCAGTTCCCTGACGCCACTGAGATCCCTTGCTGGGGAGAGCTGTCTAGGGCGGGGGTTGCTATCTTTGATCTTGATTATGATGCTATTCTTGCTGCCATGTATACTGTGTCTACTAGTGATGAGGGTGACTGTTACCTGTGTGTTCCGCCTGACCTGGGCATTGAGGCTGCTGCTCTAGGTGCTGGTGAGGCTGCTGCTCTAGGTGCTAGTGCGTCCGCTGCCCCAGGTGCTGGTGAGTCTGCTCTCTCAGGTACCACGTCGGCTCAGGCCTTACACACCTTCACCCTTGACTCGGGTGCTTCCCGCTCCTTCTTTCGAGACCGCACCACGCTTACGTCGCTTAGTCGGCCGGTTGCGGTCTCCCTGGCGGACCCCTCTGTCAAACATTATATATAGGCTACAGTGGGTTAGCCTATAGGGGGTACACAATTCTAGGGTTAGGTACTTGTACTGTTTTCACTGTTAGTTCATTCATTCCTGTTCATTCATTTCAACATGGTATAGAGCAGGTCCTTCCTAGGACCGATTTTTTTTAGGGCCCACCACTACCTACCTACCTACCTACCTACCTACCTGCGCCCTAGGGCGCCTCGGTTTTCACGGCCCTCTAAGGCCCCGCGACCCGCGACCCGCCCCTTAGCAACCCGCGACCCGCCCCTTAAGGCCCCGTCGGCCCACGCGCTTGCCCCTTACGGCCCCGCACTCGACCCTTTACGGCCCCGCGCTCACCCCTAGAGGCCCTGAACGGCCCACGCGCTCGCTCCTAGCGGCCCCTGCCGGCCCCGCGATCGCCCTTAACGGCCCCGTCGGCCCCGCGCTCACCTCCCTAGAGGCCCCAAAAGGCCCCGTCGGCCCCGCGCTCACCTCCCTAGAGGCCCCTTACGGCCCCGTCGGCCCCGCACTCACCTCCCTAGAGGCCCCGAACGGCCCCGTCGGCCCCTAGAGGCCCCTTTACGGCCCCGCGCTCACCTCCCAGAGGCCCCAAACGGCCCCGTCGGCCCCGCGCTCACCGCCCCTAGAGGCCCCGAACGGCCCGTGACCGCCACAGCCCAGGACCGAACCGAGCCGCCCAGGACCGAACCGAGCCGCGCGACCCGAGCCGAGCCGTGCGACTCGAGTCGAGCCGCGCGACCCGAGCCGAGCCGCGCGACCCGAACCGAACCGCGCCGCCCCACCCGAGCCGCGCCGCCCTACCTAAACCGAGCCGCCCTACCTGCTTCATCCTCCTACTCCTACTGCTACTCCTACTGCTCCTATGGCTAGCCCACAGGTGCTAGTTTTCGATGCTGAGGGCCGCCCAGTGAAGTTTGACACATGGCTAGACGACCTGCACCTCTATCTACAGCTCACAGCCAAGGACGACATCTCACTGTAGAACCACGCCCTAGGCCATGTCACTGCCCCTGCTGCTACTGCTGACAGCACTGCTCGCTCACAGTGGCAGACTCGTGATGCCCATGCTCGCTTCGCTATTCGCAACTCCCTGCCGATAGATGAGCGCGAGCACTTTGGCCAGCACAAGACTGCACAAGCACTGTACACAGCTGTCGTTGCTCGCTACTCCTCACCTGCCTCTGCCGCCCTAGGCCGTCTCTCCCTCCCCTACCTGTTTCCCGACCTGGCCTCTTTCCACACAGTCGCTGACCTCATCACGCACCTCCGTACTAGTGAGGCCCGCTTCCGTGCCGCCATGCGTGATGAGTTCCTTGCCACGCACCCCCCCCCACTCTGGCTCACTCTCTACCACCTAGTCACCCGCCTCCCTGACACTCTGCGTGCTATCAGGGATCACTTCCTAGCTCGCTGCCCCACTGAGCTCACCATTGCCCTCCTCGAGAAGGAACTGCTTGCAGCTGAGGCTAGCATCGTAGCTGTAGGTGCCTCTCGTGGCAAACCCCGTACCCCGTTCTTTGAGGGGTGTTCTCCTTCCCCCCTTCTTCCCTCTGTCGCCTCTACTGCTGCTGTCGACCTCCTTGGTGCTGAGAAGGTCGGTACTGCGTCCGCTTCGAGCGGGCGCCGCAGCGGTAAGGGCAAAGGGGGCAAGGGAGGAGGTGGTGACGGCGGGGGAGGCGGTGGTGGGGGTGGTGGCGGCGGTTGGGGTGGTGGTGGGACTGGTGGGGCTAGTGGTAGCGGTGGGGGTGGTGGCGGCAGCGGCGGGGGAGGTGGCAGGGGCGGAGGCGGTGGTGGGGGTGGTGGTGGACGCGGCGGCGGCAGGGGTTGGGGTGGTCGAGGAGGTGGCGGCGGCGGTGGTGGTCGTGGAGGCGCTGGCGGTGGCTAGGGCCAGCAGCACACTCCGTCGCCCCAGGAAGTCCGTGAGTGGTACTCACAGCACGGGGGGGGGGGGGGGGGGGGGGGTGGCTTTAGCTGCACGTACGTCATTCGCACGGGTGACCGCACTGGTCAGCCGTTTGGGGGATCGCACGCCACACAACGCTGCTTCGCTCGTCTCAACGATGCTTGGCGTGTTCAGTTCCCTCAGGCCACTGAGCTGCCCCGCTGGGTTGATCTCCTGAGGAAGGGGATTGATATCTATGCTCTAGACTTTGATGCTATTCTATTTGCTATGTATGTGATGTCTACTAGTGGAGAGGGTGCTGAGTACCTGTGTGTGCCGCCCGACCCGGGCATTAGGTCTAGAGCGTCTACCGCTCCAGGTACTCACGTGTCTGCTAACCCAGGTGTTGGTGAGGCCACTGCTCTAGGTGCTTGTGCGTCTGCCCCCCCTGGTACTGAGTCGACTGCAGCACTACACACCTTCACACTGGACTCAGGTGCTTCTCGCTGCTTCTTTCGTGACCGCACTGCCCTTGAGCCGCTTGCTCGGCCAGTTGCTGTCGCCCTCGCTGACCCCTCTGGGGGTCCGGTCATTGCGACCTCCTCCACTTTCCTTCCCTGTCCTGCGGTCCCGTCGGGCACACTGTCAGGTCTCCACCTCCCCTCGTTCTCTACGAACCTGGTGGCAGGATGTGCGCTCCAGGACGGGGGTGTTCACCAGTTCACCCCTGCCTACGAGCGCGTGACACACTGCACGTGTGCTCGTACGGGCCGTCACTTGGCTACCTTCACTCGGCAGCCGGGGTCGGACCTGTACACACTGACCACTGAGTCCCCTCAGGTCGCTGCGTCTGCGTCTGCGTCCGCGTAAGGTCAGCTGTCGGCCCCCTGCTCGTGTCGCTCTCTGGCCCACGAGACCGTCCTCTTGCACCACCGCCTTGGTCACCCGTCTGTGCAGCGGCTTCGTGCCATGCACTCCCGGTACCTTGTCTCTGGCCTTCCCAGGGTCCTTCCTCCCCTCCCACCCTCACCTGCTCCTCCCTGTCTTCCCTGTGTCGAGGGGCGGCAGCGCGCCGCTCCTCACTCCTCCTCGTTTCCCCCGACGACTGCTCCCTTGCAGACGCTCCACATGGACGTGTGGGGCCCAGCCCGCGTCCGTGGTCAGGGTCAGGAGAGGTACTTCCTGATAGTTGTTGACGACTACTCGCGCTACACCACGGTCTTCCCCTTGCGCACCAAGGGTGAGGTCCCTGATGTCTTGATCCCTTGGATCCGCAGAGCCCGTCTCCAGCTCAGCGAGCGTTTCCACTCGGACTTTCCTGTCCTGCGCTTGCACTCTGACAGAGGTGGTGAGTTCTCCTCCGACCTCTTGGCAGCCTACTGTGCTGAGCACGGCATTGAGCAGTCGTTCACGCTTCCGGCCTCACCACAACAGAATGGGGTTGCGGAGCGCCGCATTGGCCTGGTCATGGAGGTCGCCCGTACCTCCTTGATCCATGCGGCTGCCCCCCACTTTCTGTGGCCGTTTGCGGTCCGGTACGCTGCGCATCAGCTCAACCTCTGGCCCCGTGTCTCCTTGCCGGAGACCTCGCCCACACTGCTGTGGACGGGGGAGGTTGGCGATGCGTCGCGTTTTCGGGTCTGGGGATCTCGAACTTTTGTCCGCGATACGTCTGCGGACAAGCTCTCCTCCCGTGCTGTTCCCTGCGTCTTCCTCGGCTTTGTCCCGGACGCGCCTGGTTGGCAGTTTTACCACGCCACCTTGCGCCGAGTCTTGCCCTCTCAGGACGTCACTTTTGACGAGTCCGTCCCCTACTACCGCCTCTTCCCCTACCGCACTGCCCCGCTCCCCCCCCCCCGCCTCTCTTCCTCGCGCCAGGTGCTGCCGAAGCCGCCGAACCGCCCAGCCGCCGAGCCGCCGAGCCGCCGAACCGCCCAGCAGCCGAGCCGCCGAGCCGCCCAGCAGCCGAGCCGCTGAGCCGCCCCGCAGCCGAGCCGCCGAGCCACCGAGCCGCTGCTGTCGAGCCGGTACTGTCACTGCCGAGCCGCCATCACCGCAGTTCCAGCCCTATTCCTACCGGCGCGCCCCGGCCCTACCCACTCGGACTGGTGAGAGCACTTCTTGCTAGACCACTGCTGTCATGGCTACCCCCAGTGTCCTTACCTTTGATGCTGAGGGTCTTGCTGTTGACTTTGAGTTCCGGGTCGATGACCTCCAGCATTTCCTACAGTGCGATAGGGCAGACGGACTCTCCCTGTTCGATCTCACCTCTGGTGCCTCTCCTGCCCCACCTGCTACTGCTGACAGCACTGTTCGCTCACAGTGGGCCACACGCGGTGCTGCTGCCAGTCTTGCTGTGCGTCGCCACTTACCGACCGCTGAGCGTGCGCACTTTAGTCAGTACAAGAGTGCTAAGACCTTGTACGACGCTGTAGTTGCACGCTACTCTTCACCTGCCACTGCTGCGCTTAGCCGCCTCATGCTGCCGTACCTGTTCCCTGACCTTGCTGCCTTTCCCACAGTCGCTGACCTCATTACGCACCTTCGCACTAGTGACACTCGCTACCGCGCTGCGCTTCCTGCTGAGTTCTGTGCCAAGACCCCCCCCCCCCCATGTACATCACCCTCTACTACAAAGTCACCCGGCTCCCTGACTCCCTTCGCTTAGTCAGGGACCACTTCCTCTCAGTTTGCCCCACCACACTCACCGTTGATCTCCTCGAGGAGCGCCTCCTGGCAGCAGAGAAGAGCATAGTCGCTGTAGGAGCCTCTCGTGGTGACCCTCGTACCCCCGTCTTTGAGGGGTGTTCCCCCTCCCCCCTCTTGCACTCTGTTGCTTCTGCTGCTGCGGCCGACCTCGTTGGCTTCGAGTCGGTCGGCGCTGCGTCTGCCCCTAGCGGGAGACGCCGCACCGGCAAGGGCAAGGGGGGCAAGGGCGCTGGAGGGGCTGGCGGGGGTGGTGGAGGTGGCGGTGGAGGCAGTGGAGGGGGTGGGGGTGGTGGTGGGAGTGGTGGCGGGGGTGGAGGTGTCGGTGGCAGCAGTGGAGGCGGAGGAGGCGGCGGCGGTGGCGGTGGGAGCAGAGGCGGCGGAGGTGGCGGAGGCGGCGGCGGCAGCGGTGGAGCTGGTCGCGGCTCTGCGCAGAGGAGTGGTTCCGGTGGTGGTCCGCGCCAGCAGCAGCAGCGCACTCGTGAGATCCCGTCCCCCCAGCAGCTTCGTGAGTGGTACGCTGGGCGTCAGCGAGGTGGGGGTACTGGTCCCTGCACCTACGTCCTCCGTACCGGCGACCGCGCTGGTGAGCAGTGCGGGGGCCCGCACTCCACCCAGCGTTGCTTCAGCCGCCTGACGGACGCGTGGCGTCACCAGTTCCCTGACGCCACTGAGATCCCTTGCTGGGGAGAGCTGTCTAGGGTGGGGTCTGCTCCCTGCTCGTGTCGCCTCCTGTCCCACCAGACTCTCCTGTGGCACCACCGCCTTGGTCACCCCTCCTTGCCTCGTCTGCGAGGCATGGCCTCCCGTGTCCTTGTCTCTGGTCTCCCCCGGTCCCTTCCTCCCCTCCCTCCGGGGCCTGCCCCTACCTGCGTTCCCTGCGTCGAGGGGCGGCAGCGCGCCGCCCCTCACTCCTCCGAGCTTCCTCCGACAGAGGCTCCCCTGTAGACTCTTCACATGGACGTGTGAGAGTACGACGGCTTATGCCAGCTATGCTTGCTTGCCTTTACTTTATCATGCTATTTCTAGCATAGGATAATCATATGCATGCATGAATTGCTTGATTTCCTAGGCTAGGTGCTTTCTTATATTTTATTATAGTTATGGCACCGAGCTAGGTTGCGTGCACCGAATTCTGGCCTTTTCGGTTGCCACTGAATTCCCTTCTACCGAATTCGGTAAGGATATGTTCGGGACGCTACGCGAACCGCGGAACCTTCGCGTAACACCTGGTTACGGGGCCTTGTGTCGAGCCTATATATAGCCTCGTGTTGTACCCAGGTGATTCATTCAATTCGACTCAATTCTCATTCTCTTTTCTGAGCTCGATCCTAGATCCTCACACTTGGTAATCAGAGCCCGTTTACACGCGAAGTTCTTTCGACCGCTAAAAACCAGTCTTCAAAAACTGCGGGGGCGACGCAGTCAAACATCGATTTTGGGTACGTAAAACCGGTTCCGTGTTTTTCGCTCCCCCTCGATTCGGTTTTTCGGATGCGTTGATGTCAGGCATGGAGGGCCAAGGCGACAACTACGCGACTACGAGCGACATCGCGAGCCTCCGCACCGACATGGAGCAGACGCAGGCGACGCTTCGTCGACTAGAGGCTTTACTGACAAGCCAACCAGGGTTCGCCACCACACCAGCAGCGACCGCAGCGGCTGCAGCACCGACAACTCCAGGAGCAGTGGCGACACCGACATTTCACGGACCAATGGCACCACTGTTGCCGAACCTCGAAGCAGCACGACCGAGGCTCCCGGAGGCGTTTGATCCAAGCCCGAAGGGATCCGACGTCCGGCGATTCGTGGCCACCCTCGAAATTTACTACGAGGCCATTGGCTGTTCGACCCCGCAACACGGCGCAGCAAGAATTCGGCTCGCAGCGACACTGTTACGTGGACCGGCTCTCGAATGGATTTACTACACCGACGTAGCCCGCGGGGAGAAAACGTGGCAGCAGTTTCGGGCAGATTTATTCGAGCGTTTCGAACCAATTAATACAACCTACATGGCGCGGCAGCAGATACACCGACACAAGCAATACAGTAGTGTAACACAGTACATGCAGCAGATGGAGTTACTGTCAGAATCCCAACCACTAGACCATTGGGATAAAAGGGTTTGTTTCAGTAGCGGGTCAGTGCGCCCATAACCCCCCAGGCGAACGCGCCTGTAACCCTCTCCAGGATCAATCGGGCATCCACAGTGCAGATCTACTGACTGTTACTGTTCAACCGCATCACCGACCTGACCGAAGGCGAAAAAATCCAGGCGTACACCGAAGGGTTAAAAATGGAGATTTGGCGGCAGGTGATTGCGGCGAATTACAACAGCTACAGAGACATCGTGCGTGCTGCCGAGCGATACGACGCGCTGACTCGATGTCAACTCGAAACACGACGCTTCACGCCGAACCGTACATTCGGCATGGAGCGATAGGCACCCCCCACGTTTGCCGAACCGATGGATATCGACAAATACGACGCGAAGCAGCAGCCGACAAAATGCGAATTTTGCTGCGCAGCAGGACATCAGTTTTTGTCGTGCTACAAAATGAAGAAAGCACGTGCGGCACTCCGGGACGGAAACAGTGGAGCACCCCCGAAGTAAAAAAACGGGAATCGCCAGTAGCCGCGGATCGACCTGGCGATCGCGTAAAGATCCGAAAAGCAGGAAAAGGCAACGACGTGGCGACTTCGGAGCGGGTGAAAAAAGGAGAAAAGGATGGCGCGAATTTAAAACGTCACGACCGGCCGGCATCAGGGGAAATCGCCGAGGCGAATGGAGGCTCCGCGAAAAAAGACTCTGCACCGACCGGGAAACTCCAGCCGAACACCCACGAAAGTAAGAATTCGTTAAAAGTATCCTATAAAGATGCTCTAATGAAGAATATTGCTTCTCGTGGTTTTCAAGCCTTCAAAAAATTCAGGGGAGGTTTAGAGGCCAAGAAAAAGCCTTTAGAAATTATTCAGGTACCTGAGAAGTTGGGCAAAGTGTGAGAACTTGAGCTAGGCTAAGGAGCCATAGCTAGTTGAGTTCGAGTGAGTTAAGTTAGAGTCGAGAAAGTTGAAAAGAGAAGAAGGGTTTTCACTATAGAGCGAGCAGTACATATAGGCAAAATGAAAGGTGCACCACCAAAACAGAACATTATATAACTACACTAGTCTACACTACAGGCAGTTACAAAAACAATATATAGAAATATATATTATTCTTGACACAAAGTACTACGGAGCGTAGAAAAGGGTCGTGCGTTCCGTGGACTTAATATTCTCTCCCCGTAGCACAGTGTTAAGGCTCCCCGTTGCCCACAGGTGAAGCCTATGTCAGATGATTATATTACTGATGCATATATATTTAGGCTGTAGTGGGGTAGCCCATAGGGGGTACAACCCAATTAGGGTTGGTACTTGTACTTGTTTCATTTCATAGTGCACTCATTCCTCGCCTCTATCTCAACATGGTATCGAGCAGGTTCCCTAGTGGGAACTGTTCCTAGGGCTCACCTACTATTCCGTCCTGCCCGGAGCGCGCTCTGCCCTAGCCCGAGTCGCGCTGGGCCTTTTTTTTCCTTTGGCGGCCCGATCGCGTCGAGCCGCCCGCGAATTTTTGACGCGCCACTTCCGCGGCCTCGTCGCGCCGCCCCTAGACGGCCGCGCCGCGTCGCGCGTGCCGCCCTCCAGTCGCGCGCCGCCCCCCTCTGACCCTCGCGACGCCGGCGCCGTCTCTGACGGCCCCGCGATCGCCTGCGACGGCCCCGCCGTCCCCTCTACCGGCCCCTCCGCTGCGCTTGACGGCCCCGCCGTCCCCTCTGCCGGCCCCGCCGCTGCGCTTGACGGCCCCGCCGTCCCCTCTGCCGGCCCTGCCGCTGCACCCGACGGTCCCGCTGTCCCCTCTGCCGGCCCCGCCGCTGCTTTAGACGGCCCCGCCGCTGCACCTGACGGCCCCGCCGTCCCCTCTGACGGCCCCGCCGCTGCACCTAACGGCCCCGCCGTCCCCTCTGACGGCCCCGCCACTGCACCTACCGGCCCCGCCGCTACCCCTGAGGGCCCCGCTGCTGCATCTGCAGGCCCCGGCGTCTCACCTGCCGGCCCCGCTGCTGTACCTGACGGCCCCGCCGCTTCACCTACCGGCCCCGCCACTACCCCTAACGGCCCCGCAGCTGCATCTCCCGGCCCCGCCGCCCCAGCAACTGCGCCGCCCCAGCAGCCGAGCCGCCCCAGCAGCCGAGCCGCCCAAGCAACCGAGCCGCCCCAGCAGCCGAGCCGCCCCAGCAGCCGAGCCGCCCCAGCAGCTGAGCCGCCCGAGCCGCCCGAGCCGCCGAGCCGCCCGAGCCGCCCAGCAGCCGACCCGCCGAGCCGCCCGAGCCGCCCGAGCCGCCCGAGCCGCCTGCACTGCCCTGTCTGGTGAGCACTGAGCTTTACTCTGCGCACTGCCCTTACCCCAGTGCTGTCATGGCTACCCCCAGTGTCCTCACTTTGACGCTGAGGGCAGAGCCATCGACTTTGACGTGTGGGTAGACGACCTGCTGCTTTTCCTACAGTGCGACAGAGCTGACGGCCTCTCTCTCTTTGATCTCACTTCTGGTGCCTCTCCCGCCCCTGCTGCTACTGAGGATGCCACTGTTCGCTCACAGTGGGCCACACGCGATGCTGCTGCACGTCTTGCTGTGCGTCGCCACCTCCCTCCCTCTGAGCGTGCACACTTTGGGTCGTACAAGAGTGCTCAGACCTTGTACGACGCCGTTATTGCACGCTACTCCACCCCTGCCACTGCTGCACTGAGCCACCTCATGCTACCGTACCTCTTTCCCGACCTTGCTTCTTTTGCCACAGTCGCCGACCTCATTACCCACCTGCGCACTAGTGACGCTCGCTTCCGCGCTGCGCTTCCTGCTGAGTTCTGCGCCAAGAACCCCCCCCCCCAGTACTTCACTCTCTACTACATTGTCACCCGCCTCCCTGACTCCCTCCGCGGAGTCAGGGACGACTTACTCTCAGTCTGCCCCACCACTCTCACTGTTAACCTCCTCGAGAAGTCCCTCCTAGCAGCCGAGAAGAGCATTCTTGCTGTAGGGGCCTCTCGTGGTGACCCGCGCACCCCCATCTTTGAGGGGTGTTCCCCCTCCCCCCTCCTGCCCTCTGTCGCCTCTGCTGCTACGGCCGACCTAGTTGGTTTTGAGTTGGTCGGTGCGGCGTCTGCCCCCAGTGGGAGACGTCGCTCTGGCAAGGGCAAAGGGGGCAGGAGCGGTGGTGGAGGCGGCGGGGGCGGTGGGAGCGGCGGTGGAGGCAGCGGAGGAGGTGGGGGTGGTAGCGGGAGTGGTGTCGGGAGTGGAGGTGTCAGCGGCGGCAGTGGAGGCGGGGGTGGCAGCGGCGGTGGTGGTGGGAGTGGAGGCGGAGGCGGCGGTGGCGGCAGTGACGGTGGGAGTGGCGGTGGCAGCGGAGGTGGTGGCGGCGGCGGCGGAGGAGGCGGCGGAGGAGGTCGTGGCTCGTCGCAGAGGAGTGGCTCCGGTGGCGGTCAGCGCCAACAGCAGCGGCAGCAGCGTGGTCAGGAGACCCTCTCCCCGCAGCAGCTCCGTGAGTGGTACGCTGCACGTCAGAGGGGTGGGGGTACTGGTCCGTGCACCTACGTCTTGCGCACGGGCGACCGTGCGGGTGAGCCGTGTGGTGGTCCACACCCCGCCCAGCGCTGCTTCGGCCGCCTGACTGACGCTTGGCGCCGCCAGTTTCCTGACGCCTCTGAGATCCCTCGCTGGGACCAGCTGTCTAGGGCTGGAGTAGCTATCTTTGATCTTGACTTTGATGCTATTGTTGCTGCCATGTATGCTGTGACTATTAGTGAGGAGGGTGACTGTAATGGTGTTTCCCGCCCGACCCGGGCATTGGTACTGCGGCTCTAGGTGCTGTTGAGGCTGCTGCTCCAGGTGCTGGTGAGGATGTCGCTCTAGGTGCCAGTGAGTCTGTGTCCTCAGGTGCTGGTGAGTCTGCTCTCTCAGGTACTGCGTCGGCTCCGCCCTCTCTCACCTTCACTCTTGA